TAATGCGATAAGTTATTAATAATGAGAGAGGTGTTTCTTGTAACATAATAACACAACGCAAGAAAAAATGAGTCTACAACCTAATAAATGCAAGTATATGATACTACTTCTATGATATTTTGCACTATGAATGTAATAACAGACTAGTGTCATATGGTCTAAGTTACTCCCCACAATGACTATAGCCTTACTCATCATTTAGCGAAGTATGAAAAACTTGTTCTATAATAGATTACCTCTTATTACTATTTTCAGCAATTATTGTTTACATAGTATAAAAATTATAGGACGGTTAAATGTAAGCTAGAATAGTGTGAATAAATCAAGACATCTGTGTACAATTAAGTGACTTCCTCTCAGACAAAAATGATAAACAAACCTTATGCCTCTGACTTGAGTATCGTTGAATTGAAAAATTTGTTGAACATCCAGTTATCTTGAATGTAATATTGATATTTGAACTATAATTGCACAAGAGATATTTGCATGTTATTTATGTATAAATTGTGTTATTTTCTATAATCATTTTGAGTATTGCGAACTTAAGAAAATAAATGGACACTACACCACAACAATCAAGGGTTGTGGTGTAGTGGGAGCGGACATTTAGGGGAATGTTGGATGGCCATGATACTTTGCACTATAAAGGTAATACCATAGACTAGTGTCATATATATAACACTAGTCTAAGATGCATCCCACTATGACTAGCCTTACTCATCACTACGTGCGGACGAGTCCGGACTAGTCTACATAGAAATAGTATGTCTGTTCTGGGGGGTCGGTTTGGAGATGCCCTAAGAGCACCTCTCAAACCCGTCTCAAACGCCCGGTCACTGCTCGGTCACGATTTTTTGACCCAGACGGGCCTCTCAAACGGCCCTCAAATGCTCGGGCCGACCGGCACACCTCATATCCAGCCCAAATATGGGGCGGATATGGGGGCGCTCGGGCATGCCCGCCATGTTGGACCCGACAGCCCGACCCCACCCCAAATTGCTCCAAATCCACCAAACCCTTCCTCCTCCTCCCGCCGCCCTCTAACTATTCCCGCGCCCGGACCCTCGCCGGCCTTCACCCTTGCTCCCAATCCTCAGCTCCGGTCCCGATCCATCGTCGGAGATGTCGTCCAGCCCGACACACACCGCCGCGACGGACACGCAGTCCGCCTCGTCTGTGGGAGATGTGGTGTCGTCAGCGGCGACTTCCAAGGCGGAGAACGTCGCCCGCACGTTGCGGCAACGCCGACATCGACAGAGGGAGGTGGCGGCGCATCGCAGGGAGGTTCAGACGTGGTGAGCAGCTGTCTCCTCCGCCGCACCCGGATGCCCGCACCCCTTCCCTCCGAGCGCCTACGGGGATTACGCTGTCCACCCCCTTTGAGACACATGATGATCCGAGCGCCGGCTGGGCCATTTCAAAGAGTTTTTCGCCCACGCAGATGCCGGCGGTCGACGTGTGTGACTCGCCGCAGCTTGTTCAGGCACGGATGAGCACGGGCTCCGGTAGTGCCCGAGCTGCCCTCAACATGTTCGACGGAATGACCGAACAAGAGTCGGTACATTTTCTTTACTCTTGTCCGGTCATATTTTAGCATAGACCACTAGTTCATTTGCTCGATGAATGCTTGCAAATTTGAATCATGTAGGAGGTGTTCTTGTCGAACATGATCAATGACAATGAAGAACCGACCAAAATGGAGTATGAATTGGAGGCCACCACCACATTTGAAATTGGGACAACATCCGATCCCAATCCGAGCAAGAAGAAGAAGAAGACAAAGACGCCAAAGGCAACAGGTCCGGCATTCTCAAGATTTGAGGACATCTTGCTGGTTAAAGCTTGGTTGGCCACAACGATGGATCCAATATGCGGCACCGAGCAAAAGGGGAACACTTATTGGATGAAGATTTGGAAGGAGTACCATGAGCAAAAGGGGTATGTGGAGCCGTATCCTATCGTGACCACTCGCAATTTTGCATCTCTCCAACATCGTTGGGGGATCATTCAAGGGGAAGTGAACAAGTACGTCTGCTACTACTCACAAGTGACCAAACACCCTCAAAGTGGGATGGGAGCCGCAACTCACGTAAGCTCGATTACCTCATCTTGTCGTCCATTGCATATGCTTCTTGTGTTTGCATTCTCGTTCTCATACATATGTTGTTCGCAAGACGGCGATGGCGGCCACTTTGTATCATGAGGTGGAGAAGAAGCCATTTTCTTTTAGCCATTGTTGGGTCATATTGAATGGCAAGCCGAAGTGGAACCAAGTTGTGGCCGACCTCAAGTCCGGCAAGAAGAGGAATGATGGCTCAAGCTCCAACCAATCAATTGGGTTGGACGATGAAGAGGACGACGTTTCCGAGGTGAATGGAAAAGCCACCGCGCCAAAGGACAACCGTCAAGTCATGGGAAACAAGTGGGAGAAGGCACGTGCCACCCGCGATGCTGCGGCTACCAAATTGTCATCAACATGGACGGGCATTTTTTCAGTGAGGGAGAACAAGGAGGAGAGGTACAAGCTCATGTTGGATCCGCAAAAGTAAATGATGGAGTGGGACTGGAAGAGGGCGGAGAAGAAGCTCGAAATTGAGAGGGAGAAGATCGAGTTGGAGAAGCAACAAGCGGTGATCAAATGGGAGCTCGAGAAGGCCAAGACATTTGGCGACATAGATCTTGAGAAGGAGAGGTTGCAACTCGCACGGGACGCAGAAGATGCGGCGATCATGTTGGCGGACGAGATCCTCTATGATGAGCATTCAAAGAAGTGGCTTGTGGACAAGAAGATGGAGATCAACGACCGTAGGAAGTATGAAGCGGCGAGGGCAGCTGTGGCTCAGATGCAGTCGGAGGAGGCGGCCCGGATGCAGTCGTAGCAGGCAACCCGGATGCAGGAGGAGCAGGACGCATTCCGCCTGCTTGGAGCAGGCGCCGAGCTAGTGATCCGAGGCCATCCGTCACGCTCGGACATTGATTTGATTTTGCCATGTCCGGTCTATTGAACTATGATTTGCTTTGTTTTGAACTTTGGCATTCAGACAGTTTGTATCGTATGATCGATGTGCATGGATTTGAGGATCAGAATTTGTGGTATGTGGGTGTGCGATGCAACATTTGAGGGGTGTCCGGTCAGTGCCCGCGGATGCGTCCGGATGCGTCCGCGAGCATTTGAGGGGCCGGATTTGCCAAGTTCGGCTGTAGATGCTCTAAGAGGACCATGTTCCACTAGTAAGAACTAGTATCTAGGAAGATAGGGATGTAACTAGCACGAACAGAAGTAAGGACTTTATCGGGTAGAATGATACAAGCCATACCAAGAGATACCCATTGCCGTTGCGAGCAGATCCGGGCTCCCCGTCAACAAACTCGCCCAACACTCGTCGAGTATTCCACTCCGATGAGTTTATCCCAAGTAGCGCCATGAAGGACGAAAATAGGAACTAAATCTATAGAGGAAACCAGGGAGGGGACCCTCACCTGCTACATAGCCGACGGAAGCCAGGGTAGAGGGGAGGGCCGAGGGGCGACAAATAATAGAGAGAACTTGGGAGCGGGGGTGGAGAGAACAAGATGTGGTAAATTGTCCATCCTGCTTGCTAGATAGCAGGATACTAAAACCAACAAAGGCCAAAGTAAGGGATGATTACTTGGTGTCCATGTCAGGCCCGATCAAGCCCAAGCGTAACAAGTCGACCGCCTGGCACTTGCAAGGTTATAAATAATTTTTTTGAAGGACCAGCTAAGGCTGGTGTTTCATTGATTTAAGTAGGGAGCAGTTGACAAAAGGTGACAAGGCGAGGATCCGAAGATCAAGGAAAGAAAGAAGAAGAGTGAAGAAAAACAAAGTGCCCTAGGATGAGTGAGCTGACATTTTTAGATATCGTTTTTGTAAGTTTTGGCATGCTGACCTTTTTAATCAAATTTATGTTTTGATCAATGTATCTATGTTTTTATGATTACGATAATGTTTTGATTAGTATCTCTATGGCTAAGTTTATTGACCATGACAATGCACGTGTATTTAGCTAGTTCAGTTAATACTTGAGTTACTCCCGTCTTTGGAGTTGCTATTTCGGCAACCACATGATGTGCGCGCACACGCTGTATATCCCTGAAACTGCATCTTTGTGTTTTGTAGTCACTTTGTTCCTTTTTACTATTAGATTTGCCTGAAATCAAAATTTACAATGTTTAACCAAATTTATGTTAAAATATACCAACATTTACAATACCCAATAAATATAATACAAAAATATCCATGATGGATCTATATGATGTTGATGTTGTATTGTGAATGTTAATAAGTTTTCGTACACACTTGATCAAACTTTGGATTAACTCCAAACAAACCTAATACGCGGAGTAAAAAGAAAAAAAAAGAAGAAACATATAAACTATGACCATTATCAATAAAGATGCGAAGAGTGGTTACTGTTTAGTGTTACTTGAAAAATATCAAGTGTCGCACTTGGGGAAGTAGCATAAACGAGGGACGAAGGGAGTTTGGAGCTGACATAAGTCGAGATTTTCAGAGACAAAGCAAAAGTTACAATCCCGTGTCAGAGAATCAATAACGTCAAACAAGAGAAAGATCTAAAGTCGATCAGTGTTGAGTCGAGGGCACCCTGCTTAGACAGGTAATCACTGTTGCTACGATACCAAACGAACCTGTTATTTCTACAACAGCGTGCCCTCTCTGTCAACACCTAACTATGCTACTGCAAAGTTCCATTATTGAACAATGCAACGTGGCAACTGAAACTAGCAAAGGGACGATGGTCCACTAAGCAAAAACAACATAAAAAGAAGATTAGGAAAGGGAAGAAGAAGAAGAAAAAAAAAATGCTCGCATGCATGGTTGTCGCCGGTTGTCCCATTCTACTCCTACCAGGCAGGCGAGTATTCAGCAATGATTACGTGCAGCGATACGCGTATATACATCGATCGATCGATCGAGCACCGAGACGAGGAGGTGTTGGCTGGCCCTTGCTCACAGGTCACAGCTCCTGCTCGAGGAACTTGTCGTCCTCGGCCGCCTTCTCCGGTCCGGTGACGTCCGAAACCCATGTGCTCAGAGACGACACGCTCCGGGACAGCCACGCAATTGGCGACGATGCCTTGGGGCTCTCAGCGGCCACGGCTGCGCTCTTCCGCCGCTCCTCCTCGGCCTGCAGCCTCTTGTCCATGTACTCCCTCACCGCTCCGACGCCCTTGGCCACCACCTCCATGGGCGGTTCTGGTCCAGGCAGAGCCGCTCCAGCCGCTCCAGTCTTCCGAAGCAGTCCGGCAGCGCGTGTATCTGGTTGTTGCTGAGGTCGAGCTCGCGAAGGCCGACCAGGTCGCCGAACGACGCCGGCAGGTCCCGCATGTCGCTGAAGTTGCTGCTCAGGTTGAGCGACTCAAGCGCCACCAGTTTGCCGAAGGAGGAGGGCAGGCCGCGGAGCTCGTTGAAGTGCACATCCAGGATTCGCAGGGACCGCATCTCGCAGATGGAGGACGGTAGCGAGCGCAGCTTGTTGAGGTGCACCCAGAGCTTCTGCAGGTTCACCAGCTCGTAGCCGATGCCCGTCGGGAGGTACGCCAGAACGTTGCAGCTGGCGTCCAGCTCGACCAGTGACCTGGAGTCCCGACTCAGACGATCAGCAAGCAAGCAATGGACCTCGCGGATTCATGGGGGGCTATGGCTGGTTGGTTACCTGCATCTTGAGATGCTGTCGGGCAGAGATCTGAGCTTGTTGCCGGAGACGTCGAGCACCTTCAGGTTGGAGAGAAGCCCGATGGAATCCGGGAGGGAGACCAAGACGTTGGAAGCGAGCCGGAGTTGTTCCAGATGTTGAAGCCCGCCTATGGCATCGGGGACAGCCTGCAATCTCCATCCAAAACCACCGGTAAAGAAGAGTGCCGAGCAGAGTGGTGCGTGTATGTGCAACCAAGCAAATTAACCTTTTGGGAAACAAAATTTGCAACTCCAAGTAAAGTATATATGATCTGCAATGGATCACGGAGGGAAATCCATTTTCCTTCTTACACGTAGAGCCTCAAAATCAACCTAACGCTCGAAGGCCCGATCGCCGAATTTTACGGATCGGACGAACGATCCCAATCTCCCATCGATCGCATGTCTAAATGGTACTACGATGAATGAAAGCACGGGGAGAGACGGAGCAATGCATGGCGGCGTCAGCGAATCCTGACCTGGAGCTGGTTGCGCGAGACGTCGAGCACGAGCAGGCCGCGGATCCGGCCCAAGGGCTCAGGCAGGTGGAGCAGCTGGCGGTCGGCGAGGCGCACCTGCTCCACCACTCTCCCTTCCTCCGCCTGCTTGAGCAGCCTCACCACCTCCTCGTCCACACCGCCGGATCCCTCGTCCTCCCTTCTCTTGCCGCCCCCTTCCGCCACGTCCCTCCCGTGCATCGCCATCCGGTACACCCGCTCCAGCTTCTCCTCCGCCTCCCGCAGCAGGACACCGTAAGCCTCGTGCTCCTCATCTAACCGGACCACCTCCTGGCTCTCCACCACCTTCTCTTCGATATCCAATCCGACGAGGTTTCCGTGGGAGTGCGAGAGGAGGAAGGCGCGGGCGGAGTCGACCAGCTCGTGATCGCGGCGGGGGCCGAGGTGGCGGAGCGCGTCGCGTGCGCAGGTGATGTCGGCGACTGCGCGCGTCAAGGAGCGGAGGACGGACGGGTGGCGGAGGCCAGGCATGCGCTCGACGAGCTCAAACTCCGCCGGGCCCGACGGGGCGCGCGGGGACGGGGACGGCGGCGGCGGCGGCTGCTCGAGGTCGTGCGGGGATGAGAGCCTCGGGGAACCCGTCATGATCGACGGGAGGCGGGAGAGCACATAGGAGAGGATCGGGTGCGAGTTCGGCGACGGATCCATGGCGACGGCGGAATGACTGTTCCGGCTTCAAGCTGAGGGGATCGCGGGAAGAGAGGAAGATGAAGATAGCGACAGGATCCCCAAAGGATTCCGGTATTTATATGTGGCGGGGGAGTTGTGTGGGCTGACTGTTCAACGCATGCGTGTCCTCGCCGTTGGACCGACTATCAAGGGTCCCCGGATGGAGCGCCACTTGAAATCGCATGCCGCTTTCTCATGTGGTCATCGAGTTAAGTTGGTTTTCTTTGCAAAAAATTTGAATCCTCTTTGTCAAGATTCATTTCATATTTGATCATCACAAACTATAATGTCGAAAGTTGTTCAATATCCCCATTCAATTGCTCAGAAAATATTACTTCCGTCCAAAACTAGTTGATGCCCAAACAGATTTATCTACTGTAGTTTATCAGTCGCGATTAAAAAAAAGAGTGGAATAACTAAACTAGTCTAGTCGTCGCAAAAAAAAAAACTAAACTAGTCTAGTCCACACTTCCTAGTATGGTCCACATGTGATAATTTGAACGGTGGGCATTGCTGCTTCTATTCTTGGGAGGGGAAAAGGAGGATCGCCGCTGCTTGTGATCCACAAGGCCCGCGCAGATAAGTACGTGAAGATGATTTCTCCGTGCATCGAAGCACAATGCATGCGACAAAGACGGGCAGCGCCAAGCTCCCACAGTTTCGACCTCCCTCGAGGCGGTTCCAGAATTTTCACTTTCAACCAAGTAATAAAACAGAAATATAGGAGGATCAAGCTGGATCGAAAAACATCCGAGAAACGTTTCCGCACATCGATGGATTATCTAGACAAGCGGACACTGCAGGAATTCTGCCATGTGGTACACCCTAAACAACAATCCTGCCATGCACATGAGAAATACTCTCTCTTTTTTGCTAAAAGGCCTAAGAATAACAAGCTCTTACAAGTACATCCTTACATAAAAAAATACATTTAAAATCTTCCATCGATGATGCATCGTGAGCATAACTCGATGCCGCCTTGGCTTTTGCCTTGGCGGAGCAAACTTTTTAAACTTAGAAGTTTGTAGAAGTAGCTGCCAGGAAGTCGTCAATGCAAACCATGAGACGCCAGCGGCCGCGATCTATGAAGCAAATCGCTGCATCGAAGAAAAGCATCGATAAGGGTCCATAGAAACTTCAAATATCATGAAAGCCGACCGAATCCAGATGGATCCCGGAAGAACGGCCCGAGATACAACTCCATACGTCCTTCACCGGTGAAAAACATACCAATGGGACGGGGAGATCATTATTCTTACCCTGTAGCAATGCCGCCGCTTCGTCGCCCCAAACCAAACACAATGACTCTCTAAAGAAAACCTAAAAAAGGACCCGTGTCGATGTACGACAAGTCCAAGTCTGATGTTGACCTCGCTGCCGTTTAGACTGTGCACCAACGCCTTTGTATCCGATGATCCGGCCAGGCCAGGCCACTGGTGAAGACCTCTTTGTTGGATCCCTCTTGTCGTCGTTGTCTTCACCAACGTCAATATCGCGCACTGCCTGTTGAAGGCCACCACTCGACACCAATTTCCTTCGACATCCCACATCAACCCTCCAACGCCTGCAAAGCAACCCCCCGATCCGGACCTCCCCTCCGTAGGCGGTGCCGCACGGGATTTGTTGGCAACGTGCCCTACCGGCAACAAGAGGGGTAGATGACACGCGTGACGGCTAGGGTTACTCCTTCACCTACGATGTGGCTATTCTACCAGGAAAAGCGCTTCGCTCCCACATGAGAAATACTCAATGCGTGGCCCTAATAAAATACTGATACGTCTCCAACATATCTATAATTTTTTATTGTTCCATGCTATTATATTATCTGTTTTCGATGTTTTATATGTATTAATATGCTATTTATATTATTTTTGGGACTAATCTTGAAGGAAATATGCCCTAGAGGCAATAATAAAGTTGTTATTTTATATTTCCTTATTCATGATCAAGGTTTATTATTCATTCTAGAATTGTATTGTTCAGAAACCTAAATACATGTGTTAATACAAAAACAAACACCGTGTCCCTATTGAGCCTCTATTCGACTAGCTCATTGATCAAAGATGGTTAAGGTTTCCTAACCATGGACATGAGTTGTCATTTGATAACGGGATCACATCATTAGGAGAATGATTTGATGGACAAGACCCATCCGTTAGCTTAGCATTATGATCGTTCAGTTTTATTGCTATTGCTTTCTTCATGTCAAATACATATTCCTTCGACTATGAGATTATGCAACTCCCGGATACACGAAGGAATGCCTTATGTGCTATCAAACATCGCAACGTAACTGGGTGATTATAAAGATGCTCTACAGGTATCTCCAATGGTGTTTGTTGAGTTGACATAGATCGAGATTAGGATTTGTCACTCCGAGTATCGGAGAGGTATCTCTGGGCCATCTCGGTAATACACATCATAAGCTTGCAAGCAAACGACTAAAGAGTTAGTCACGAGGTGATGTATTATAGAACGAGTAAAGAGACTTTCGAGTAACGAGCTTGATCTAGGTATGAAGATACCGACGATCGAATCTTTGGCAAGTAACATACCGATGGACAAAGGGAATTACGTATGTTGTCATAACGGTTCGACTGATAAAGATCTTTGTAGAATATGTAGGAGCAATGAGGATAATCCTCAAGTTATGGACCCAGTCCATGTAGTTGTTGCCATCATCTTTCAACTTAGCTTTCTCTAGGAACGCATTAAAATTCAAAGGAATGGTAGCACGGGCCATTGATCTACAACAACATAGACATGCAAAATACTATCAGGTACTAAGTTCATGAGAAATTAAAGTTCAATTAATCATATTACTTAAGAACTCCCACTTAGATAGACATCCCTCTAATCATCTAAGTGATCACATGATCCAAATCAACTAAACCATGCCCGATAATCACGTGAGATGGAGTAGTTTTAAATGGTGAACATCACTATGTTGATCATATCTTCTATATGATTCATGCTCAATCTTTCGGTCTTAGTGTTCCGAGGCCATATCTGCATATGCTAGGCTCGTCAAGTTTAACCCGAGTATTCTGCGTGTGCAAAACTGGCTTGCACCCGTTGTATGTGAACGTAGAGCTTATCACACATGATCATCACGCGGTGTCTCGGCACGACGAACTGTAGCAATGGTGCATACTCACAAGAAAAAGGTCTTTGTTCCACTTCCAGTGACCAGTCCCTTTGCAGTAGAAGCACTCAGTTTCAGGCTTAGTTCCAGACTTGGGTTTCTTCTCTTGAGCAGCAACCTTTTTGTCGTTCTTTTTGAACTTCCCTTTCTTCCCTTTGCCCTTTTTCTTGAAACTAGTGA